TTTCTGCCCAAAACCAGTTCCACAGAGTCTTCTATCCTGGAGATAATTAGAAGTAATCCAATTATCTCCAAAGACAGAGGCAAAACTCCATTGAACACATGGCAGCAAAAAGACAGTAAAATACAATAAAATACACAAGGTTACATTTATGACATAAAATACAGACATGCAACATATGCCCAGATAGCTTAGGTCTGAGCGCACATTATTACTGAATGGCGCTCAGAGCACACACATACAGTTTAATTGCCATGGAGCCAAAGTCTTTCCCATAGGCTGGGAGGCAGAATCGACCGTCCCTACCCCCTGTGCTGGACGTGCAGAGACCACGGTCCCATCTGCACAGTTGTGGGGCTTACTGTCTCCTCCTGGTACATTAAGCTGCCGCTGGAGAGAGGGGGTAACAAGCTCCTCTCCCATACATACTTCCAGCCGCAGGGGAGGGAGACCGACTGTCTCTGCTCCCAATACAGAGTCCTGCTGCTGGGGAAGGGAGACTGGGCTCCCAATTCCCAATAAATCATTCTGCCGCTGGGGAATGGAGACTGGGCTCCCAATTCCCAATAAATCATTCTGCCGCTGGGGAATGGAGACTGGGCTCCCAATTCTCTGCAATTCATTCTGCTGCTGGGGGACAGGAGCAGCTATCTCTGTCCCCTGTAACTTAGCCTGCTGCTGGGGAATGGAGACTGGGCTCCCAATTCCCTGCAATTCACACTGCTGCTGGGGATCTGAGCCGACTGCCCAGCATCCCTGTAGCTCACCCTGCCGCTGGGGAGGGAGGACGCTGTTCTCCTCTCCCTGCAAGGAACACTGCCGCTGGGGGACAGGACCACCTGTCTCTGCCCCCTGTAACTCAGCCTGCCGCTGGGGAATGGAGCTCAGGCTCCCAATTCCCTGCAATATCTCCTGCTGGGGAATGGAGCTCGGGCTCCCAATTCCCTGCAATATCTCCCACTGGGGAATGGAGCTCGGGCTCCCAATTCCCTGCAATATCGGTGGAGAGACCTTGGTCCCATCTCCACCCGCCACTTGGGGTTCTTCCCAGTAAATCTCAACAATGTCTTCCCAGCTTAATGGTTCTGGAACTGGATCTGTCACCTTGCTGTCTTGCTGAGCCTTCCCAATGGAGTGGAAGAGATCTCGGTAGTCCTGCTCCAGTTCCCACTCCAGGGTTGCTAGGTGAGCCAGGTCTTGCTCTACCTCATGGGGGTCATCCCAGTCATGCCTAGCCTCCATCTCGTAGAACATTTCCTGAAATCTGTTCTGCGCAGGGCTCCCAAAGTCAGGCTCTGCAAAGGACTCCCATAACAAGCCAGGACCATCAAACTCCTCTCCCTCTGGCTTGTCATGCTCAGCTGTCCAGGGTAAATACTGTGCCATATACCACCAGAGCACCTGGTAGGCATCCTCCAGCCATAGCTCCTGCCATACCCGGTGCTCTAGTTCCTTCACCCATTCCTCCAGGGGCTGCTCTCCCAGGAAGGGCATCCGCAGGGCCACTTGCTTCTGCAACCGCTGTTCTTCACTGGGGAGACTCTCACCCCGCTGGTATTGTACATTATCCAGGGCCTGGTACCAGATGCCTTTCCTTAATGCATCCCGGCCATCCAGGTCCTCCTCCTCATATGACACTGCTGGTTCCATGCTGTTGCTGTCAGGGTCGCTGTACTCAGACATGCGTTGCCCACAAATTGTAAATCCACGGAATGGTGTTGCCTGTAGCTGTCCTGTTGTCTGTGGGAACGATCCCGCCGCTTTCCACCAATTGTAACGGACCGTTTTGCACACCAGGGGTTAAAAGTGTTTAGGCAATATTCCCCTTTTCAGATGCACAGGCACAGCTCCTGCAGAACACCAATCCGCCGAACAGGAAACCATATGAATGCTGTAAACAGCCAAATAGGAAAAACCATACGAATAGGTTTACACTCCTAGCAGTCAAACTGTAACAGCATACAATAAATCCCCCCAAGAACGAGACAAAGCTCCGTGTTGAGGGTCAAGCAGTGAACAGACAGAGCTGTGGGTTTATTGTGCTTATGTACACATTCTTACACATTAGTACCACCCACAGGGTTTTGGAACACAACCAATAAACACATACAATACACTCAGACACTCCCACACAAATTCCTCCCCTCTGCATGTGATTCAATTACCTTACACAATGGGTAATGTAATTTAGCACAAGCAGAGAAATACAATTTTTCCACATTATTCATAACTTGAAAAGTATGCATCACATTCACATAACTTACATTTTCAGAATCAGCATACTCCAAATACAAACATACGTCAAAATCATACAAATTGGTCCAGTGGTTCAAAAGATAGATCGTAGTCCTTTGTGACCACAGGAAGCATGGCTTTTCTGCCCAAAACCAGTTTCACAGAGTCTTCTATCCTGGAGATAATTAGAAGTAATCCAATTATCTCCAAAGACAGAAGCAAAACTCCATTGAACACATGGCAGCAAAAAGACAGTAAAATACAATAAAATACACAAGGTTACATTTATGACATAAAATACAGACATGCAACATATGCCCAGATAGCTTAGGTCTGAGCGCACATTATTACTGAATGGCGCTCAGAGCACACACATACAGTTTAATTGCCATGGAGTAGGGATCGACCGATTATCGGTTTTACCGATATAATCGGCCGATATTCGGTATTTTCGGCAATATCGGTATCGGCCAATTCAGATACCGATATTGCCGATAATACCTCCTAGGACCGCCAGGCTCATTACAAACCCGGCGGTCCTGGGGGGGCGGAGAGCAAGCGCTTACTCACCTCCCAGCAGCTCCTCCAGCTCCCCAGTGCAACTCTCGCGAGACCCGCCGCCGTCAGAGCGTTGCCATGGGTCACCATGGCAGCGCGACACGCTGGCCGCGAGAGTTGCACTGCGGAGCTGGAGGAGCTGCTGGGAGGTGAGCCAATACCACTGGACCACCAGGGACTGCTATATCCCCCCTCCCTGGCCAGGCAACAAGCAGGGAGGGGGGACAACAAACAAAAAATAATTAAATCTAAAAAAATAATATTAATTTAATAAAAAAATGCCCCCTCACACACACTCCATTATATACACATACACTACACAAACACACTGTGTATATAATGCAGTGTGTGTGTGTTTAGTGTGTGTGTGTATAGAATGCACACAAATACACACACTGCATTATATACACACACTATACAAACACACTGCATTATATACACACACTACACACACACTGTATTATATACACACACTATACAAACACACTGCATTATATACACACACTACACACACACTGTATTATATACACACACTACACACACACTGTATTATATACACACACTACACACAAACACTGCATTATATACACACACTACACACACACTGTATTATATACACACACTACACACAAACACTGCATTATATACACACACACTGCATTATATACACACACTACACAAACACACTGTATATAATGCAGTGTGTTTGTGTAGTGTGTGTTTGTGTAGTGTGTTTATATAATGCAATGTGTGTAATGTGTGTATATAATGTAGTGTTTATATAATGCAGTGTGTGTAGTGTGTGTATAATGCAGTGTGTTTGCATAGTTTGTGTATATAATGCAGTATGTTTGTGTAGTGTGTTTCTATAATGCACACTACACAAACACACTGCATTATATACACACACTACATTCACTATACACACACACTACACAAATACACACAAACACTTTGCATTTAGTATATACAGCATTCACTTTATGCACACTACCCACACACTACACAAACACTTTGCTTTCATTATATACACACTACACTAATACACACTGCATCCACTACACACACTCGACAAATACACACTGCATCCACTACACAAACACACATTGCATCCTCAACACACACTACACAAACACACAATGCATCCACTACACACACACACACTACACAAACACACGCTGCATCCACTACACACACTACACAAACACACACAGCTCCCCTGTCACACTGCATCCACTACACGTGGCATGTATATTTTGTGCATTTACCTTTAGAAATAGTTTTTATTTTCCAAAATGGTAAATGTACAGAATATCGGCAAATTATATCGACTATCGGCCTGAAAGTTCACAGAATATCGGTATCGGTATCGGCTCTGAAAAATCAATATCGGTCGATCCCACCGCCCAAGGCAAAGTCTTTCCCATAGTCTTTCATTATACTAATGGGCTCCATGGCATAGCTATCTGGGGTATCACTGCTCAAACAGGGCAAGCACCAAATGACCCGGCTTTCTTGTCTTTGCAGGGGAAAATCAAGCCTTTTAACATGGGGCCATAATCCAAAGGCAACAGGCAAGCAACCAGGCTTCTCCAATTCAATGTGGCGAGATTGCTCTCGTCACATAAGGCTTTCATTGTCATTGGTTCGTATCCAAGTAGAATGCAGGGATTGCACATTTTTTACTTCCTTTAAATATTTTTCTCTGTCTTTCAAAATTGTACTCACAGTTAATATTTGGTAGCTAATTCTTTAGTGGTATTTCCAGCATCATTAGAATTTTGTTTGTAATGTTATGGCTTTTCGTCTTTTTAGATTTTCATTACAAGCACCAACTGTGACATCCTTTCTTTTTGGTGGCATTATGAGTCCTCCTTCTTAACTTTCTTCTTTCTCAATGTCCCTCTCTCCTTTATCACTTTCCTTTTCCTTCTTTAATAAAACACCTCTCTTAAGCCTTCCTCCTTCTTCTTTCTCAACTTCACTCTCTCCTTTATCACTTTCCTTTTTCTTCTTTTATTTCACACCTCTCTCAAGTTATCCTCTTCTCTTACTTTCAGGCTTGCACCTATCCTTTATCACTTTTTTTGGCTCCTTTTAGGTTTACAGCTCTCAATCTCTTCTCCTTATCTCTTACTTTAAGGCTTGCACCTCTTTTCCTCCTTTTATTTTTAGAGCTTTCGATCTCTACTCCTTTTCTTTTTAGATCTTGTAGAATATTGCATATTCTATGTTTCTATTGATTATATATGGATGTGTGGATTGACATAAGTAACAGATGGTATAAGTCACAAGGCTTTCTTTGTCCGAGAGCTCTGGAATGTGGATGTGGGGGTTTTGTCCTTATATGGCTAGAGTTAAATGCTGACGTTAGTATTAGCACATCTTTATAGTAACAGAGGGACACGAGGTCGCTCTCTTGGCTCTGGGCTCTCTCTGGCTCTCTCTGGCTCTCTCTGGCTCTCTCTCAATGTAAAGATGTAAGAATTTAAAGAAGTCCAGAAATTACCATCTGCTGTTGAATGTCCATTATCCTGTAACATAATTTGTTGTTTTATTATGTATCCGTAAGAATAAACCTGAAGAAACCGTAAGTCAGATTGCGTATTAGTACTTTTCAATAATATAGACATATATTATTGTGGCGAGCATTATATTTGGCCCAAGACTATATATACAAAAGACGTATATATATCAATCAACTGAAGACAAGAAGAAATTAAGAAGATTTAACAGTGACGATTCCAACCAGATTTTACATTGACGAGCCTGCCAGACTGTTTTCTGGTGTTACAAACTTCTATTCAGGGGGAGCTGAGCAGAGAGAGGACGGGAATCGAATTACTCTTTGTGTTGAATAGTAGTGTGTGCAGCCAGAAACAGAAAAAAGAACCGTGTTAAAAGCCGTGTTAAGAGCTATGTGTGTTTATCAGAAGACAAAGATTTTCAAATCACAAAGACTGTTCCAAGATTATATTCTACAACAGACAAAAGCACGTGTTATAAAGAATGCAGCACAAGATACAACGTGAATTCTAGAAGCAAGCACGTAGCAGAGATTGGCAATCATCCAGATCCAAGTCCTGAACTGCGCTGCTGTGTGGATGAAGCAACAAAATAGACAGAAATAACTGATCTGATAAAGCGTTATAGATCCTTGTGGCAATAAATCAGGAAAGCATTCCTTCAGACAACTGGACATCGACTGTTGGAAAGAGACTTTTCATCTGATCTGCAAACTGTGATGGAAGATTCTACAGAGTTCATTCGATACAGAAGATTAAAGCGGCACTGTCATGCCGAATCCTGTTTTTTTTTTAACCCCCCTCCCGCCTCCACTACATCCAATTGACCCACTAGTCACCCTCAAGGGCCCCTAAGCCCCCATATTACCTATTTTTTAATCCTTATTTTCTGCCCCGATCTTGATTCAGGGCGCCGCCATCTTTGTGTGGGTAGATGAAGTCCCTGTGGGACACGTCATCAGCCCACACTAGACAGACTGTGAGATTCCCGCACATGCCCAGTGAAACACCTGGACATGCGAACGGGAATTTCATCTATTCATTCATTCATCAGACAGACGAATGAGTGAATAGAAAGATCAGCCGAGGGGGCGTGGCCTGGACGCTGAGAGAAATGGCAGCATAAACGGTGAGCTCCCCAAAGGCTCAGCTCCCATCCTCGCTGTGCAACGTGTCAAACGGTAAAATGGGGAAATCCCACAGGGTAACACAAACGGCCAAATCTGCCGACACCCCGAGGGGGTCCCCGGCCCCGTCCATAAGGCACTACCTCACCACGCCGGCGGACCTCACCTCACAGGCCTCAAATGACTCCGAGGCCGCAGACATCACCCAGACGCCTAACTGGGGGGGGGAGTCGGCCCCACATGGGGAGCCGGCGATGCCCCCGGAGTGGATGCGGATGATCGGCAACATCCCGACGAAAGCGGATCTGAAAGCGGCGAACCAGGCCCTGCAACGCTCCATCACGGAGGAACTGCATGCCATGAGGGAGGATCTGCAGGGCCTCAATCACAGAGTCTCGCAATTGGAGGCAGACTCTGACCACGTGCAGTCAGTACAAACGGCAAACGCAGACGCCATAACCTCCCAAGCAACTCAGCTCAGACAGATGGCTCACCATATCGAAGACCTCGATAACAGAGGCAGAAGACAGAACATCAGAGTCCGGGGCGTCCCTGAGAGCACCGCAAATCCGGAACCAATACAGGAGATCCTGGCGGGCCTCTTTAACAAAATCCTCGGAAGGCCTGAAACCTCTCCTATCGAGTTTGTACGGGCCCACAGGGCTCTTCGCCCTAGGGGGACTTCAGAAGATCCCCCTAGAGACATTGTATGCTGTTTGGCCAACTTTCCCCTGAAGGAGGAGATCCTGCAACGGGCCAGGGAGATGGACCGAATACCGCTGAATGGGGCCTTGATCCAGCTGTTCCCAGACCTCTCCCCGGCAACGCTGGCCTACCGCAGGGCCATGCGCCCTCTCACGAGGATCTTGCAGTCCAACAAGCACCGTTACCGCTGGACCTTCCCGACCGGCTTGCAGATCTTCACGCCGACAGGCCCCTTGCTGGTGCGGGAAGCAGGGGACCTACAGGAGCTGACCCGGGAGCTGCAACTTCCCCCGATCCAGATGACATGGCCAGACCCACTGGCCTTCTACCTGCCGGCCATTACTGCCCAGCAAAACCAGCAGAGACCGCAGAGACAGCGACGGGGCCGACAACAGGCGATGCGCCCGTCCGGGGCCTCTGCATAGTCCTTCAGGTATGCCGCCCGGGCCCCACTGGGGACAGGGACCCTCCCGCACCCAGTCCTGGGGTGCCACCCGGCCCCAGGTACCGGCACTCACTACCACTCGGACACCGGGCCCCCAACCACTCACAGCACCCATAAAACACTCACAATGCTGATCGGGCACCAGACGGGGAGCCCAGTCCGGTCGGGCTGGCCCCTCCAGTGCTATGGGTAGCCTGAACTGCCACCACTTGCGGACCATTGGAGCCCCACCCTGCCATCCGGGGGAATGATCTGGACCTTCCCGCAGGGGGGCCGGGGGGACTATGCACCATCGTTCAGGCCTTCCGGGTCAGGGAGGGCCGAGAGGTCACTTTGGGGGGGGGACTCGGGGCGCAGTGGGGAGCAGGAGGGGATTCGGGGGTCTGTGCCCCCCGGCCGGGCCGGGTCGGGGGTCCCCTGCCCTAGCGCGTGACGACCCGCGCAGGAGAGCGCGCGGGGGGGGGGCGCCCGGCCCGGCCTGGGGGGGGGCCCGGGCCTCCGGGGAGAGAGGTGCTGGCGGACACAAGCCGGCGATTTTGCTGTGGGGAGGGGGGGGGATGTGCTGGACGGGGGGGGGAGGGACCACGGGGGGCAACAAGCTGAGACACAGCTTTCATAACCTATTGTTTATGCCTCTGCCAATGTTTCAAAGTTTAAATGTTAACTGTTTAATGCACACACACCCATACGAACCACACTCTAATCCACTAGAAACCTGACACGCATTGAAGCTCCATGGCCTAGGGCCACGCTTTAGGCAGCGAGGAACACACAAGCTACTTTTACACGTAAAGAGCCGACGGGGGATGACATGGGACGTGAACCCCAGGACTTGAGAGACCGGTTTCACAATAGCCCGCACACTCACAGGTGCTGTCACGAGACTCGCGACCTCCCTCGACCCCCAACAGGAGGGGGCTACCGACCCCGGGCAGTGGGTCGCCTCACACCCCTGGCGGGTGGGCTACTAGCCCTGCCCGGGCAACCCACATCCTAGACAGCGCCCAGGCGGACGCTGGTTCACTACGGACAGACCACTCACTCCTACCTTTCCGCCCCTCCTTTCCTAGACTACCTCCCCTAGACCGACACCCTGGGGTCCTCTAAGGGCCTCAACATGGCACCCTGTCACACAGACCTCAACATCACCACAATAAATGCCAGGGGGCTCAACAGACCTGAGAAACGCACGAGCGCACTGAGAGACTTCCACAAATCCAGAACAGACGTGGTCTTTATTCAGGAAACACACTTCAAAGACGGGCTTCGACCCAAGCTGACCAATCACAGATACACCAAGGGGTACTATAGCGACTACAAGGAAAATAAATCAAGAGGGGTCGCCATACTGATACATAAACGGGTACCATTCCATGAAACAGAGACTAAGTCAGACCCAGATGGTAGATACTTGTTCCTGAAGGGCTCCATAGCCGAAACCACATATACATTTGCCAACATATACGCCCCCAATCAAAGACACTACAGGTTCCTCCACCGCACCATGCGTATATTGCAAACTTTCACAGAGGGCATACTGATTTTGGGAGGGGACTTCAACCTGACAATGGACCCTAAATGGGATTCATCCTCCAGGTCATCCAGGGTCCCGACGCAACACCTAACCCACATAAAAGCCCTACTAAAACGCTTGCAGCTCATAGACTGCTGGAGAGCACACCACCCAGACGAAAGGGACTATACGTTCCTGTCCCAACCACATAACACATACTCACGACTTGACTATTTCTTTATGACACACCATCACCTAGCACTGGTGCAGACAACGGAGGTGGGAACGGCGACCTGGTCTGACCACGCACCGGTGACGCTCACTCTCTCCTCTCCAATATACAGGCCAAGGGCGACTAAATGGAGACTGAACGACTACCTGCTGTCCCTACCAGACGTCCGGACAGAGACGGATGAGATCCTGATGGATTACTTCACGACTAACACTCCGGACCAAACATCGCCCACATACATATGGGAGGCACATAAATGCGTGATTAGGGACCACTTTATACGCAAGGGGTCGAGGCTCAAGAGACAAAGAGAAGCCCGTATCACGTCGCTAATACACGACATACAGACAACAGATGACAGTAACAAAAGGGACAACCGCCCCGCACACCAGGCTAGGCTCCTCGAGCTGAGAAGGGAACTGTCCACACTCCTGAACGCCAGCCACCATAGAGAAGCCGCTAGACAAAAAGCATTTTTTGAGGCACAGGGCAACAAGAGTGGTACGCTGTTGGCACGAATGCTGACCAAGCGTAGACAACTGACATACATAGACAGAATTAAGGACAGGAAGGGAACAACGCACCGCCTCCCCACTGATATACACAGGATCATACGCTCCTACTACATGGATCTCTACTCCCTACCGAACCCACAAGAAGCACACGCTCGAGCCAGCCTCGCGGCCCGAATAACAGACTTCCTACACACTAACACACACACGAAAATGGAACAAGAAATAGCAGACGCGTTGGACGAACCCATCGCTATAGAAGAAATTGCGATGGCAGTCAAGGCCTCCAAACTGGGCAAAAGTCCGGGTCCCGACGGCCTTCCACTACGCTACTATAAAAGCTTCGCGGGGAC